TACTGGGATACCTGTGGGATACTGGGATACCTGTGGGATACTGGGATCCGTGGGGGATACTGGGATCCGTGGGGGATACTGGGATACCCGTGGGATACTGGGATATGTGTGGGATAATGGGATACCTGTGGGATACTGGGATACCCGTGGGAAACTGGGATACCCGTGGGATACTGGGATACCTGTGGGATAAATTCAACTATAACATTAATAATAATTTCAATTGCCCTGATATTTCCTGCTGACAGATTGTTTGAGCTCAACAGACCCAAACCCCCCAGCCAGGCTGAGCTCTGGTTAATCCACGGGGTGAACAGCTGCATTTTGGGTTCTGCTGAACTCCCTGAGCTCTGCCCAGGGCTCTTCAGCAAAACCAAAACTGAAATGGCCCAAAAGGAATCATTTTTGGAAAGTGTTTGAAGGTTTTTTTATCCCCCCAAACAGGCCCCAACGAGCAACATTCTCATGCAGCAAAACCTCTTTCAAAAACAGGTTTCTACCTGAACTTATAAATATAAAATCACTGTAGTAATAGATTCTAATATACTCACTGGAGCAATATATATATTTATATGTATTAAAAATCTCTATATTATGTGATTTACAGCATGAAAAAACTACCAAAGGCAGTTCAGAACTTCAGAAGAAAGAACCTATAATAATAAGTGTATTAATAATAACATTAACAATAAGCATAATTACCAATAAGTGTGTTAATAATAAGTATGAGGTACTTATTACTAATACTTATTCTGGGTCATATGGCTCCAAAACTCTGAAATTACACCAGGCAAGACTGAACTGGTTCTGGCTGCACTAAAACCCTGGGAAAAGCAAATCCCTGTCCCAGAGCTCCTGCTCAGCCCTGAGATGACTTAGATACATCTTTACACTAAAAATCCCAGGCTGGATTTATGTGCACTTTAAGGGGATAATAACCTACTCTTAGCTCAGATTAAACATTCCACAAGTTTAATACCCACAGAGTTATAAAAAGGACAATGTTTAAGGCTAAACTTTCCTTTGCCTCCCAACTCCTGACTGGTATCCAGCCCCAATTTTCCAAATTTAACAGCAATGCTATAATGGCACTTTCTCGTGAAGATAATTACTAATTATAATCCAATCACCATCTGAACTTCTCTTTGAATAAGCAAAAGGTTGGCTTTGATCTTTTGCCACAAAATAGGTTTTTCTAGGTAAAATTGTCCATTATTTCTCGAGCTGTGATCATCAAACTGATGTTTATTGCTCAGATGATTTCTTTAAGGCTTTTCAATTCACAGTTTTCCAGGGATATATTTACACCTGGCAGGAGAATGGCAATAATGTGTTTTTCTCTCAGAGAAATACTGTCTTTAAAGGTGCCCCTGGATAAAATCCCTGTGTAAGCACAGCATCCCTGGGAACTGGTTCCCTTTCTGGGCAGGACAGCAAGGGCAGTGTTTGGGGATTTTTAAGCTACAAGAGAGGACAATGTAAGAGAAGTGGGGCTGATGTGAAGAGAAACACCCACGTTAAGGGGCCTGGGCAGGACCTTCAACAGCAGCTGAACCCAGGGACAGGCACCAACAAATCCACGTGGTGGGGAACAGAACCACGGAATTGTTTGGGTTGGAAAAGCCCTCCCAGCCCATGGATCCCCCTGTGCACCATCCCCACCTTGTCCCCCAGCCCAGAGCACTGAGTGCCACGGCCAGGCCTTCCTGGGACACCTCCAGGGACTTCCAAACCTCCCTGGGCAGCTGTGCCAGGGCTGGACAGCCCTTTCTGGGAAGAAATTATTCCCAGGTCCTTTTCCAGCCCTTCTGCCCCAGCCTGGAGTGTTCCAGGGGGTTGTGGTGACCCAGGGGCAGGACCTGGCTCTTGGCCTGGTTGTCCCTCACACCACTGACCTCAGGCCATGGATCCAGCCTGTCCAGATCCCTCTGCAGGGCCCTTCCTGCCCTCCCAGCTGCTCTTCCCATGGATCCAGCCTGTCCAGATCCCTCTGCAGGGCCCTTCCTGCCCTCCAGCAGACCCACATCCCACCCACCCTGGTGTCATCCACGCCCTGACTGAGGTGCCCTCCATCCCCACATCAATGAAGGTGTTAAACAGGGCTGGTCCCAGCTCTGATCCCTGTGTGACCCCACTGGAGCCCATTCCCAGCTGGATGTGGCTCCATCCCCTGGGCCACCAGCCGGGTTTAACCCGGTGAAGAACAAACAACAACCCCAAATATCCTGTTCCTATTTATCCACTTTTGGGGAACCTGGGAAGCCCCAGGGTGGGTTCGTGGGCTAAAGGCTGTGCCTGGCAGCAGGGGCTGGGCAGGGGGAGGCTGTGGCAGCCCCGAGTTACCCAGGAGGAGTGCTCCTTCATCTGGTGCTGGTTGCTGTGGGGGCCGCTGGCGTGGCCCCTCCAGAAGCAGCTCTGGCACAGCTGGTAGTTGTGGCACTGCTGGCACCGGTAGCGGAACCCCATCATGCTCTCACAGTGGCAGTAGGAGCACTCCACGGGGTGGAAGACTGCCAGGAAAGGGGAAAAAACAAAGGGAAAAAAAGCATCAGGTGGGATTCAGGGAAAACTCGAGCTCCCGTTTCCCAAATCACCCCCCAGGGCCCTCAGCACTGGTTGTTCCGGGTGGGATTGGGAGGGGAATAAACCAAAGAGGAATGTGAGAGTGAGGGGAGGGAGACTAAACCTTCCCATGGGAAATGCATCCTGAAAGGTGAGGGAGAGGGAGCAGAACCAGAACCAGGGCCTCCCCATCCTCCTTCCCAGTGTCCCATCTCTCCCTGCCCTCTGGCATCCATTCCCTGTGTCCTGCCCCTCCAGCCCTTGTCCCCAGTCCCTCTCCAGCTCTCCTGGAGCCCCTTTAGGCTCTGGAAGGGGCTCCAAGGTCTCCCTGGATCCTTCCCTTCTCCAGGTGAGCACCCCCAGCTCTCCCAGCCTGGTTTCCATAAGTTCTCCCCCACCTTTTCCAAACTGTCCCTTCCCTTCCTTGGCTCCTGCAGAGATTCCCACTGATCAAAGGGGACAAAAGCACCACAGTGTGCTGAACCAAAGAGCCCAAACCCTGACAGGGTGATCTGGGAAAGCAATAACCCATTAAAAATAATAATAAAATTATTTTTGATAAAATAAACCTAGAGGCACAACCCCCCCAGTGCCAGCACCCCATGGCTGCCAAAGGCCCCACAACTGGGGGTGAAGAGGAGACTGGAGCAACCAGCATCAGGAATATTGGGATCAGGGGCAAGGCACCTGCCAGCAGGATGGAAACCCAAGAGGTGGGAGCTCTTTGGGGTGGCTGCAGGGCTTTTTGGGGTTTTATTTGTACACCCCACTCACCATTTTCAACGTGGGCGAGTCTGTGCATGAGAGGGAGCCACACAAGGCACTGGGGAGGAGGATCAGCCATCAACGTGTCCAAAAACATGTTTAGCATGATCTTCTTCTGCAGAGAAAAAGAGAAAGAGAACTTGGTTGCATAGAAAAATTCCAATTTCATACACCAAAAACTACTTCAGCCTTAAAATGTCTCCATAGCACAACTTGTGCCTCCCAGGAATATTTCACAGACTGTCTGAGAACCCTGGAATGCCAGACTGGTTTGGGTGGGAAGCTCAAAGGCCATCCAGTGCCACCCCCTGCCATGGGCAGGGACACCTTCCACCAGCCCAGGGTGCTCCAAATTATCCAACCTGGCCTTGGACACTTCCAGGGATCCAGGGGCAGCCACAGCTTCTCTGGGAATTCCAGCCCAGCCCCTCCCCACCCTCCCAGGCAGGAATTCCTTCCCGATATCCAACGTAAATCTGGAGCCTCAGCAGTTCTGAAATCAAAGGTTGTTTCCCACTGTGCCATTTCCCAAATGCACCAGCTGCTGATTAACTCACATTTAGTGACTACAGATTTTACATCTAAACACTGCAAAAATATTTCTCCTGCAAAAACATCACCATGCCCAGAGCCTGAACATTTAATTTGGGGCTTAAGATCACCCAGGTTCGTGTTTACAGTTGAGTTAAATACTATTTATGTTATCTCAGACGAGAAACAAATCACTGGAACAACTAAATCACAGCTGAAATCGACTTTAAAAATAAACTGCGTGCGAAGAAGGTGTTTATTTGGTACAGACCCAGCTGAAAGGAATTGTGAAAAAGCTTCAAAAAGATCAACAGAAAATAGTAAAAAATGCCACGTTTCATGTTTTGGAAAAGAAATGGTTCATCCCTGCTGCTCTGGGGGGGAACTGGGCTGTGACCTCAAGGAAGGGAATCAACTACAGAGGTGGAAAATCCTTTAATTGCCTATTTTGGGCTGTCTTAAAACTGCTTGGGACACCAGCAACCCCCTCCCCAAGCCATGGAGTTGATTTCCCAGGAATGC